TATTTAATTGATTCAGAAATGATTTTGTTTTCTTCGATTCTTCAAAATGTAAAACGATCGTTGCAATCTTTTAAAAACGAAATCAAATAACACAATATTCTAAAAGTACACATTGTTCATCGTAACCAAAATTTCCACTGAAGATAAACGAAAAAAGAAATAAAATTAATAAAATTTTTTTAGATAGCGAAGTGATTTTAAATATAAATAACAATAGCTATTGAAATTTTAAATAGATGCACAGCCCTAACGGTTCGATAATATCGGATGAAATTTCGCCGAGATATGCATTATGTCTCTACAAGAAAGGCTATAGAGCAATTTCTTTTTTTTTAAAACATGAAAAATTTTTAATCTATTATTTTTTTCCTTAAAAAATGGCAAAAAAAAAGATTTATTTTTTAAAGAAATGGCTCTATAGCTTTGTTTGTAAAGACGTAATGTTGGTCTCTGCAAAATTTCATCCGATACTATCGAACCGTTAGGGCTGTGCATCTATTTAAAGTTTCAACAATTATCGTTATTATATTTAAAATCACTTCTTCGCTATCTAAGAAAATTTTATTAATTAACTTACTATGACCATCTATAGTTTTGATTTACATAGTACATCGATCACCCCAATTAAGTATCGTCTCGTTATTTACTTGTCTTCAGTTTTGAGATTATTTCATATAGTGAATGTTAACGTTCTTACAAAATCAAATTTATTTTGATGGCGTTAGTAAACGTTACATTACCGGGTAATTGATTTACATCCGCCAATCAAACGAATGTCCATTGTCAACTTTTTTGTTTCTGTGTCGCTGCTAAACTAGACTAGATCGGGAAATTTGCAAAAAAAAAATAACCAGTTACTGAAGAAATAGTGATAACGTACGTATGTACGTACGTAGATGATTCACAATTTCACAGCTTCTAAAATTAAGGTGATCATTTTTATATTCAATATATAGTAGTTAATAGAAAAATCACTTTCCTAATAATCTTTTTTTGTCTCAATTAAAATATATATATATATAACAAATAAAATATGTGTGAAGGAGTTGGTAGACGGATTGTTGAATAAAATAAGCAAGTAAAAAATAAAGTTTTTTTTTTTTTTATTAAAAAAAAAAAAAAGACGACCCGACCCAATCCTAAACGTCGAGCGTCGAGCTTTTTTTTTTATGTGATAAAATATAAGGCGTTAAGAGATTGGCTGAAATTATGCATCTACAGAGTCAAATATGTAGATCCTCCTTCCTTTTTTGTTTAATATTCGTAATTAGTGTCGAGTTTTTTCAATTATGTGTCGAGTTTTTTTTCAATTAGTGTCGAGTCTTTATTGGCAGTAATGCAAAATTTAACCTACAACTTTAATTGTTGTCGAGTTTTGCAAAAATCACAAAAATCATGTGTCAGTGAACTTTTCGAATTTATTATTTTTAAACATCACTAACAGATAATAATACAACCCTTTAAACTGATAATTCTGGAAAAAATATAGTGTTAGGGATCAGTATTCATCAATTTTTAATTTTATTAATAAGCATAAATAATAATAATAAATATTAAAATAATTTTAGGTTTCCAACACTATTTTTGACCTTTGGTCCGTCCTGTTTCGAAACATAAGCAGAGTTAAACACGAAAACTCAACCTTTTTAAGTTAAACACTTTTTTTTTCTTTTTTTTTTTTGACATCGTTATTGACCCACAAAAAAATCAGTACATCGATATTGACCTATTAAAAATAACTTGACCCATTGTTATTGAAATTTGTATGCCATTTTTAATAACGCATCCATGAGTTTCTAATCTTTCGCTTACTGAATCTTCTTTAACATAAATAAAGTTCTGTATTTTATTATCCTGCAGGTACAGAATAAGCTGAAGTACTGAAATTTACGTTGATGTATAGGAATTAAAGACACTAGAGGAGTTGAAACTCCCATAGCAGTTCAGAAACGAAGAATTGCAATTCTATGTATAAAAAGGGTAAGCCTAGATAAATAATATTAATTATATAATCAACTATAAATAGGGAGTAAAGAAATCGTCAACTCATCAGCTTCATCTAAAACTAGAATAATGAAATATAGAAAGGCTACATTACGTCAATGTGCAACTAATGTTTTTTTTTTTTTGTCAATACATACTGATTTTTTAGGTTTGACAAACAACAAAAAAAAAAGATTCTTGTTCTTTTAATTAGAAGCATTCTTTGCTTCTAAGGGTTATAGAAAAAATAGCTTTGTTTCCAGCATTCCCGTACCGTACTACCCACTCATTGAAGGTTCTATCAGAGTTAACTACTGTAACCAGTAAAATTCTCTCCATTTAGATAAGCAGAGTTTATTGACTAAAAGTAAGATTCTTGAAATTCTTATTCTTTTATTTCATCGTATTATATATTTTCTTGGTTTTTCGTGCTATCTAATAATTTTTCTTTGATAAGAATTTTGTTAAAATGGAAAAATTAAACTTAACACAACAATCAGACCGGAACACATTTTCCGGATGTAGATAATTCAATTTATCTAAAAAAGGCAATAATTAGGTTTAGAAAAATATATAAATAAATAAATAAAGCAATTAAACGTGTTAAAAAAAAAAAAATATTATTATTCATCTTAATTATTATATTAAGTTATATTAAATAAAATGACAAAATCATTCGAATTTCGTCAAATTCTTGCTGCAAGTTATCATTGTAAGAGATGTAAAGAGGATTTTAAATGTACAAAAAAAATATCAGCGAAGCAACGAAAAGAACTTATGGACGCGGATAAAATATGTAATCTTTGTGAAAAACAACATATTCGTTGTGGAGACAATAAATGTGTAAATTGCTGTAAAAAGTTTAATATTTGTAACAATCCGAGAAAATGTGATCACTGCATAGAACTTGAAGTTGAATGTGAATATACATTTCCACGAACGCAAGAAGAATTCGAGAAATATTCTTCAAGTTTAAAGTATATAGCACATCAGTTTGAATCATTAGAAGGAGTAGTGTATAATCAAGCACATTTAATGTTTGATAAAAAAATGACTATGAGTTCAGTTAAAAAACTATTTGATGATGATGAAATATATTTCCCTCCTAAAGAACGCGCAAGAGATGATTCACTTTCCAATCGAGAATATTCGAAAAAAAGACATAATCGATGTAAATTGCATCATAATCCATATGATAAAAAAACATTTTGTAAATGTAGTTTATCCGATCCAAATGATTGTAGTGGATGTAAACATTGTACTAAAGAATGTTACCAACATAAACATTTAGCCCGCTGGAGGGATACTTCAGATATTGTTGGACCTTTTGAATTCGGTGAATGGAGGTATCTCAAAGGTTCAAATGAAAATCAAGAATGCGAAGAAATTAATGAAATGAAATTGTTAGATATGAAACGTACTGAAAGGATAATTAATGAAGATATTCCTATTAAACAAATAGTAGAAAATCCTGGTGAACTTTTACCACGAGGATGGATTAAAAGTTTACAAGCCAAAGAATATTTAGAAAAAAAACAATTAGAATATAAGGATAAAATTATTCCAGAAAAAAAATTTTATCCGAAAAATTTTTTCTTTTATGGTGATTCTGGACCCGGAAAATCTTCTTTAATGAGGTATTTAGCTAATGCATTATCTAAGGGTCGTCCAATTTGCACTAAAGCTAGAGACTCTGAATATATTGATGAGTATAAGAATCAAGTGTGTATTATGAAAGATGAATTAACTCATGACTCATTTAATTTCGAGGATTTAATGAATTGTTGTGAAAAAGATAAAGTAGAGATTAAACAAAGGAATAAAAAACCTATTAACATAGTTTCAAAGTTTAACTTGTTTACGGCTCAGGATTCTCTTATCGAAATATTTTGTAGTAAATGCAAAAACAAAGGAAAATGTGATGCTATTTTTAGAAGGTTCACAAAAACTCATGCATATACACATGGTTACATAATTAAACTTGAAGGACGATATGTAGATGGCTGTGTAAAATTTACTATCGAATCTGATGATGTTAATCAACCAGGTGATTTGATTGATTTTATTAAAGGACATTTTAATATCAAATTTGCCGAAGATATTACATTAGAAGAAGCAAAAAAATATATTTATGATGATGAATTTGATGATCTATATGAAGATGAGGAAGATGTTTATTTAAAGATCAAAGTCGATATATCATATATATTAGGAGGGATTATATGTGACGTTGATTACAATGAAAATAGTTTTTGGGTATACAATAAATATTGGACTGGCGATTTACCTGATAATTTAATTTATCCAGAAAATTCAGAGAAGATTAATAAAAAATTACGTGAAAAATTACTTAAAACTATGGCAAGAAAACCTTCTCAAAAAAATGGTACTGAAACTAGCATTCCTAACAAAAGCCTAGAAAAAAATCTTATTGCAACTGAAGAAAATAATTTTAACAAAAATGTTCCCGAAGAAGGGTGTTTTATGGAAGAAAATAACTCTAATATCATTAACGAAGAACAAAGGCAAATTCAAACCAATCAAGAGGAGATGAATTTGAACAAAAAACGTTCTCTTGAAGAAAATAAAGAATTGGAAGTAAATAAGGAGTCGGATTTAGATAGACATGTTGATAAAAAAAACAAGAAATAGCTGGGCTTTTGAGATATTCCCGTAACTAGTATACAGTAGGAAACTAAACGAATAAGGAATAATCCGCGGTGAATCGTAATTATCTTAATAAGAAATATAATATCTGATATAGATTTTTATATAATACGCACCTATCATATTAAGACCGGACCAAATTAGTTATAACTCTCAAATTTTTAAAAATTTATGCTGTATGAGCCAAACGTACTTTGCGTTAATCAATCAAATCGCGGTTCATCATGTGTATTAGTATTGAACACTTTTTACATTATTTACATTATCTACAGCTTATTTATTTTATATGATACGGTAACTTTTTTTAAAAAAAAATTATTAATTGTATGTCTATCTTCAGGCTTATGATTGGCTGCTTATTGGGCACATGGCCCGTATGTGGTGTTTTGTAAGATCTAAAATACCTGATACTATTCAATTGGTTTAATAATAATAAAAATTTTTCTCTAATGGGCAAATGACGGGGTATAGGTCATGTGAAATATAAATACTCGAGTACCTTATTACAATATGTAGGTCACGTAACAAGGCTATTAGTATATTTGCGTAGCGAAATGACGCGCACTCCACATTAGAGTTTCAACAATGTTAAATGTTAAATTATTTTTGTCTCAAAATAATGCTTGGCACTTACTCTAAATAACGCGCGTGTATATACTAAAACATCGCACATTTTGCGAAAATACGGTATATAATTAAATAAGTAAACAAAGAATCAATTTGGCCTGGCCTAATTGATATACTATAGTTAAAACCTCAAAGAAATTACGGTATGGTAAGTGAACACAATAACTACTTTCAAATTATTGTGACGCATAATAAAATATATAATTGTCCGGAGCGAAGCGGAGGACTTATATTTTTAGGTCATTAGCCGATGTCAAGATAGTCCCAGGATAGTAAACAAAAGGGCTATATGGACGGGATTAATGGATGTAATAGGTGGATGGAAAATAGAAATATACATATCGGAATTGACCCAAATTAAGGTCCACATATTTTAACAATGCAATTGTTAAATATAGTGACTCTAATTGATCCATTTCGCAAATCCGCCAATATGATAAAGATAGATTTGTATAATAAGGGAATGTCAAATAATATAATTCATATAAGAAATCAAATAAACAATAAATGTGCGTTACGAAACAATAATAAACAATCGAATATATTCAATTTCAGAAATATGATATAATGAATAAAGGAGGACTCATTTATACATGTTGGTTAACTAGAATTCCCCGATACATTCATCGGGTCAATTTCCTTCTTTCATTACAAATGCACATTCGATTCAACACCAATTAAACTTTCTCCTCGCGTCTTTTATCTTTACACCCGAAATATTAACCTCCCAACACTCCTTCATCAACGCTTTATCAGGCTAGTAGATTGTCGGTAATAATTGAAGGCCTGGTGCTAACATGAGTAATCCATAGAGGACGCGTCGACTGGACTTTTTAGTTTGGGCGGTTTATAGTCAAAAAGGGGTCGGGGGTGTTCCAGGTATAACTCGTGTGTTGGGGATCTAACGATTGTACCCATGGATTATCACAGTATGGATTAATATTTATGGTAATAGCGTAAGGCGGGTATAAGGATTATTTTTTAATAAATTTCTATTTTTGTAATAAACAAGTTAATTCCGGCCGGGAAATTAGTAAACAATTATGTAATGAGGGCCAAAAGTTTGCATATCACGGCCGTTATCAAATCAAAATCGCGCAATAATTTTGTTGCAGTAGCTATGGTTAATGTTATGATAGTAACACCCTGTCGCAAAACTTCCGTTTTTGATATTCCTTAATTTTTTTTTTACATATCCTAAAATTTTTGTTTTTTATTAACTTTTATTATGCATTGGTTATGTTTAGATGTATCAAAAAAGTAAGTTCAGAAGTATCAAAAACGTAAGATCCACGTGTCTTCATTATGATTGGCTGCTCCGGACACATTACAGTCTCTGTGTTCCTAGAACTATAAATACAACAGTTCCTGAACGCAACCTCCTTTAAATGCAATATCTCTTTAAATGCAGTCTTTTGACTCTGGCCCAAACATACACTACAGTATATTATCATAAATGCAATTTTTTCATATTTTTCCTAAATACAAGATAACATGTCTAATCCCTACAATTGCATTTGAAAGGTTTGACTATACTCTATTCTATTAGAGTGATTTGTTGTGTTCTTAGTTTTGTTACTCACTATTTTTATTCATTAAACCTTATTTCTATAGATACGGATAAATTTTCAGAAACACTACAGTTAACTTTTATTTTATGGTTGGATCTTTGTTCATCCATATAATTTGGTCTATTAAAAGGAATACCTTTAATAATACGATTTGACAATATAAACTATTGTTACGATAGCCTTTAATAAAATTTTTTTTAACTTTCTTTCGATTTTAATTCCATATTTTAATATGTAGAACTATCCATATTATTTTGTCTGAATGATTCGTGACATTTTTCTATTTCGAAATAAATCATGTATCCTTCTGATATACGACAATTTGAAAGGTTTGGTATTTCAGGGTATACTTGCTGGTAAAACTATTGTTCCTAAATCCTCAAGTCCAAATTTTATTATATTGAGATTGAGATTTGGGATTTGAGAGTTTATAGTTTTGGCGTTATATTTCAGGTAATAATTGGATTTTTCCATTTTTATTTTAATACCAGTACCCAAGATTGTATATTCTACTAGCATGAGGTCACCTTAGCAGATCTTTCAAGTTTCATTCTAATTTGATAGCAAGATCTAACTAATTTGTGTTCCCAGCATTGTTTATTTCAGAAAAATTTTGGTATTCTTTATACCAATTTCATTAAGATCACAAAGCTTGATCTACAGTAATGGTTTTGTCTGTTTAGAGTTATCTATATACTAAAATTATATTTAGGTACTACTTTTTGAAGAAATCTTTCGGATCAATTTCCCTTCAAAGCCTTTGGACAATTCTTTCTTTAGTTTTGTAGCCAAGAAAGATGTCAGAAACTTCCTCGATGGATGGGTTTCTTTTATGTTAGTAAATTAACTTTCAAAAAATTTTCTTAAGTAATTTTAAACGGTGGTTGAGAAGTCCTTAACTCATAGTGTCGTGGGGTTAATGAAAGTATATAGTTATACACTCAATTCAGCTCAGGGTTCGTTTAGTCTTGCACTCGCTTTGTACACAGCTACGTTTCTTACTCAAACACTGCCCTCTTCTCAATAATAACTTCTCACGACCTTATTAACTCAAGGTACTAAGTTAGAATCTTTAGCCACAGGTTTATTACTCAAGAAATCGAAGCATGGGTTCGGTCTGCAAGTTCGAACCTATATTTATATAATTTCATTGTTTACATCTGATCACGTTCCACGATCAGTTACATGATCGTGACGTGTGACATTCGTTGAACCCGGCACTACGAAATACAGGGGTAACCTAAAACGCGTGTACTTATTTGTGCGAGTGATACAAATCCAAAAAGGGAAATTAGCCAATCGGAGAATGTAAAATATGATGATCCCGGATCAGCCCGACACGTGAGCAAAGCGAAGAAAAACGCAAAAAAAAACCGAAAAAGAGAAAATACTCAAAAACTAGTGTTTAAATCGACCTTGTTGGACTAATGAAAAATAACAGGAACGAAATTTTACATATAAAAAACTCATATTATCACTAAAGCTCACAACCCTAACACTAACCCTAACGCTAACCCTAACGTCCTAATCACTAAACTTTCTTAGTTTATTTACAAATGCAATTTCCTTTTTGGGTTTGTACCACTCGCAAAAATAAGTATTTCGACCTAAAACACCACCTCACATAGTAACCACAAATTGTTATAATTAGCATTGATATAAGAAGTGTGGTGGTCTTGGTTATTGCTAAAAAAAATTGCAAGGTATTTTATTAATATAAAATATCAAATTGATTATATATTGTAAAAAGCTAATAAAATATTTGTATAGGCTTAAAAATATTATTTAGCAATATAGAATATTATATAGTTTTATTTTATAGGGTGAAAGATAACAAAAAAGATAGACGCAAGGAAATGCGAAATAAAGCAATTGGCAAGAGACATGACTGTAGTGATTTGGATGTTTTAATAGCTTTGTTATAATTATCCTTATGTGACCCTTTCTCATGCATACGTGTGTAACCAACCATATCTAAATTATGTTCCTTAAATAGTTTTCGTTGAGTACCGTATAGGCACAAAATAACGATCATGAGCATTATTTGAAAACAAGGTCCTTATAAAAATGGCTTACACTGCTTTAACATAGCATCCATGGGAATAATGCGCATCTAATATAATATACCAACATAGCCGGCGATTACTGTATATAATCCTTATAACATTCGTAAATACTTATGAACTTGGGTGGCAAACATGTATTTAACGATTTTCATAACGATAACATAGGATTTTTGTAGATTAGGTTACGTGTAAATATGCGTTACTTTAAAGACGTTATTGTCCGAAATAACGCATTTACGTACTCAAGTTAGAGCGAAGGTCAATTAAATAACGCGTAAGTGGTCGTTATCTCCGCTTATACGATGTGATATAAAGAGGGGCTTTGGCTATTTCCAAAGGCTCTGCTTAAAGTTTATACGCTACCATGTATATTTCATTAAGTGAACTTTTGGCTTCGTGTTTGCATCATAGCCAAATATTTCAATCTTGTTTAGTGTTCAGTACGAGCTTATTTTGATCCATTCACCAGCCGTAAATGCGAACTTATTTGAAATCATCATTAAGATTTTTACATAATAGTTAAATTAACGTGAATCATAATTAAATAATGTAATAAAATGGCTATGAGCTTGAGTTAATTATTTTTTTATTGAATTTTTGACCAAGAAACGCGTAATCTACAAACTTGATTACATTATTTTGCAACCGCGTTAAATTGTAGTAAAAATAATTCACTCGTTGACCAAATTAACACAAATAAAAGCTAAATAAACGTAACGCTTAAATTTAATATTTTACATTTGCCAATTAAATTAAATATGGATATGGTAAATACACGGCATTCTTCATTTTCTAGTATGATAAATGAAATGTTTAAACATGTACTGCCAAAAAAATATTATCAATTGCTTGATCCTACTACTCGTAATCTGACACATAGATTCGGTTGGTTCTAAAAATCATGGAGCCGAGCCTGTGGAACATAGTTCAAAGTCCTAGAAAAATTCCAGTATTATTCATAAAATCTGTTTTGATAAAGGCCAAAAAGTGATTTTATTTCGATAACAACATATAATGTTTAGCATTTTTATGAAAACTTCATTAGCAAATATAATTAACAGGTGTATCGCAATACCGAACATTATGGCTTCAAATATTGCAAAATTCATTCGCACAAACTACTGCAGTAACTTGATGTTATGGTGTTATTTAAGTTATGAGAGTTCGTTCAAAAATAACAACTAAATGTTGCGGTTTATATTTCATAGTCACCAAAAGTTATCAAATATTATCAAAATAAATAAATAATAATAATAAGTAAATAAATAAATTTATATAATATATAGTATATGATTTTATATAATTATGGTTACTATATGTACTGCTGAACCGTATATAAGTTATAAAAAGAACTTTGATTATAAATTTTTTATATAATACTACCAGAGCCAGAATAATATGAAGGACATCCACAGCAAAAAAAGAGGATGAGGCTCTATATTATATAGTCCCACCACCTTTTTTTGCTGTGGATGTTTTTAACTATTTAGTCTAATTTGATATTAAAAATGTTCAATAGAAATAGAATAATAGAATAGAATAAATAAATTATCCCACTACTACTACACGTAGTGGGCCCTGATGCCTCACGAATTTGTGGTCTGTTGAAAATTTTCACCAATCTATCTTGCTCCGTTTTATGTTCCAAGATTTGAATGAGTCTCATCTCGTAATCAGCTAATTTTTTTCGTTCTGTTGTTAAATGATTGTCTTTTAATTCCAATATTTCTCCCAATGCTATGTCAATTTTGTTGATATTTATCAGATCATGTCTTTCTTTCGGTATTTGCTCTAATTCATCTACAACATTTTTGATGACTGTCATTTTATCTTTGACCTCTTTTATACGTCGAGTTATATTACTTGTTAGAGATTCTATTTCTTCTAACGGTGTATATCTTGTCTCCGTTCTCCTGGTGATTGGTTGATTATTTTGAGTTGGAAGCCCGTTTATTTGAGCTACAAAATTTGAATCATCTTGTACTAGAATGTCATTGTATTCTGGCTGCGATTCTAATTGAGTGGAAGACAATTGAATGCTTGCAAATCTTGGTGAATCTATTGTGATTGATGATAAATCTGATGGAAGGGGATTATCATATGGTGGTGGCGGGTTGTAATCAACTGGGGGATTATCATATGGTGGTGACGGGTTGTAATCAACTGGCATGTCAAAATAACCGGAGGGTAATCTTCTCGCGTTGTTGATCATATTTTCCAGAATTGATTTGTGTTGAATTCTGTTGACTTGATATACAGTGTAGTTTTGGGTATCGATGTTGGATCTTGTTAGGCTTGTTGATGTTCTTATAAGACCTGCTGTGTGTCTTTTAATGTTTATTGGATCGCAATATAGAAGTTTGTGGAGATTCGATTAGGTTTATATTTCAAAAGATTTAGTAAATTGTGGGGAGAAGGGAATTTTTAGAGGTTTATATAAAGATTTTTTATTATTAATATAGTTTTATTTTTTTTTTTCAAAACTCCGGATTGGAGTACAGTTGTTATTTCAAATACTAGTCGTGACGCTAAATTATAACATAGAAACGATTAGTATTTACTAATTATTTTTACAAGATTATTTAACATCGCCACCGTAGCCCTATGTGATGACTTGAAATCACGTACTCCATCCTCAATAAATAAATTTGGGAAACAACATTTATTGTATCTTTGAACTATAAATAAAGTTATGAAACACGTAAAAAATTTACCTACGCAAGCTTTAGAAGTTTCGAGAATAATGTGCACTCCAGTGTTTCGGGCTAAACCCGATTTTGCAGATCAAATTGAGCGAAACTAGTTTCGGAGGGTTTCGGACTTATAGGGCGAAACTAAAATTCCTCTGGGCGA